GCGATTTGCAGCATGTAAAGTGGGCATGTGCATGACATGCACAGGTCATCTGGTGCATCATCCTTCTTCTTGAGTCTGTGAAAGGCTGCTGAAAACTTTCCATCACCTAATGTCCATAGCATCCCCATCTCCTAATATGTATCAACAAGTCTGCTAGAAGCTGGTTTGGCTGCTAGGAGGGCTCAGTTTCTTTCATTAAACATGTCATAGACCTAAAATTTATAGGATTATTTTTAAATTTAGTAGATGAAAGTGGGGAGGGAGGGTTGGATAAGGACAAAAAAAAAAATCTGAGAAGATTCAGGCATCCCTGATGACAATAGTTCTGGCTGGGAGAGGAGAAAAAACACAGAATCAAGTCTTTGTTGCTTTTAACGCTTAAAACATTTTGACACTTTTCATCATTCCTTTAGAAATGTTTCTTATCACTTTAAATGATCTGCTCATGATAGACAGGAGAGCAGTCCCTTCCAGACTGTGCCACAAGTGGAGAAGCATTGGCTCACAGTACTGCTGTGGCAGAGACTTCCACTGATACCCACTTGCATGTTCCTTTTTGAGCACCCTATGCCCTTGCTTAACAGCTAAATATAGCTGGCTAATCCCACAACTAGCTTGCTATATTTTCACTCATTTTTTTCCCCTAAATCATCTGATGCTGATAGAAATTTTCTGATTTCTAAAAGCCAGGGAAGTGTCTGTCTGTGTGTACTTGTTTTCCTCCTTTTTGTCCCTTCCCCCTACCATTTCCCTAGTGTACAATTGCTTCATTTTGGTAGACGACTTGAAATTCTAGTGTTTGAAAATAGCAAGTAACATAGTTAAGCAAATTTGGGAATGTCAGTGGGGACGGATGGCCTCTTGATGGCATTTTAATCAGTATCTTTTTAAAATACTATGTTCCCTACCTCCCTACCCCCTTGGAAAGGTACCCGTAAGTTGACCATGAAATAACAAGTGACTAAGTGTACTGACAGAAGAATTACAAAGCCCGAACACTCATCAGTGGCAAACTAGTCTTGTGTCATTTTGTGGGTGTCTAATAGGCCTGGTGTAAAATACCAAATTAAGCCTGAATATTCACATTAGAAGACTAAAATAACCTCTCCCAGAAGTTTATTCTGTTCTCTGATATTTTTGTCCTATTTTCAACCTTTATAGAGGTGACACATCCCTGGTGAGCGTTACTGGCTGCATATTGTCAGTCTGGAGTACTGGTGCTCCATCTGTGAGCTCCAGCTAGCAGCAGGTACTGTAAATCATAGAGATTCATGGTAAGGCTATGAAGTTTTCTGAAAGACAAACCACAGTACCTGTGTAGAAAATTACTGTATCTAGTAACTGGGAGTGGCTCTTGGTTTGCCAAGTGCTGCTGTGATAATGTTGTTGGGTGATGCTTTAACCATTGTGGATCACATATATAGAAACTGCACATGCAGTCATGTATGTTTTGCAGCTTCGATCTTCCTCATGCATTCACTTTCACACTCGTGTATGCTTGTTGCCTCCAGAAAAGCTGAGCTGAAATGGAGCATGAGCCTGTTCCTGCACTCTTCCAAGGCTTTCTTTTAGATTTGGGAATGGAGAAGGTTGAATCCCCCAAAAACACATGGCCCAATGTTGGTACAGGCTGTCAACAGCTCAGATGAGAGTGACCAGAATATTGGGTCCAGCAGCTAAATTACTATGGTCTGAAGGGCTTTTAGGCTGCAATGGCACAGTCAGGTTTGCTTTGTGGTATTGTCCTTGGAGTCCTGATCTGGCTAGTTTAGAGGCAGATGCAGTTCAGACTCAGATGCTCATCTTTTGCATGTTGTTTTTTGTTTTGTTCCTGCTAATACTGTAGGTCTCAGAGATCCTATGGGATGCTAGTGGGTGAGTGCTCTCAGATGGTGGAGGCTGCCAGCAGAAGCATTGGGGAGCCCAAGATCTAGGGTATGGCTATGGATAAAGGTGACCAACTGGATGATAAAGGTTACGCAAAGGGACCTGCCGGCCAGGATGAGCCACCAGCAGCCCAACGTAAATAGTGGTCACTGTAGGGTGTAGTGAAATAAGGCTTACGGCAGATCATTGCTTGTGAATCAAATCCAGCAAAGTCCAGCTCAGTCAACATGAGTACTACTGTGCTGATGGCCAGAGCTGACCCTACATACTGCATGTGGGGCTGCCAGTGCTGGCCTAGGTGGGAAAAATGGGAGGAATTTGGGATAGGTGAGCCTTGGGGCCTCACTTTACAGCCTTTGCTCGTGCAACCTTGCTCCATCCCTTTGAATTCAGATAGTATGCAGAGACATTCTTGGACTAAATGTGAATGTACTCAACACCCATCTGCAGTGAACTGTGCCTGGAGAAACTGCCCTGGCACGTGTTGTATTGCATCCTCAGGACATCTGCATGTGCCTAGCTTCATTCTATTTCCAGCTCTTCACATGAGTTCTTGGGGGAGACAAGAAGTGAAGCTATTCCTAGAAATCCCACTGCAGTCATATCTCTTCCCTTAACTGGCGGACTCATCCTTGCTTCTTTTTGCCAATGTTAACAAGTCTTTTGGCTGCTAAGGGGAGTTTTTAGACTTGTTTGAAAGAATTTTTCTCCCACTTCCCTGCGTGCTGCTTCCTGTGCACTAGGGAAAGGTGCAAACCCATGGCTATTGAGTATTTCACATCAGAGGCTTTCAACTTACATGCTCTTGTCATACCAAAAACCTGTGCTCAGCCCAGGACAGCATCGCAACGCAGGGGATAACAAATGCATTGCCAAGGGTTTTGGTGCAGTTCTTGAAGCATGTGGTATGTGGGGCACTCTAAGTAGAAAAGAACCATCTTGGTTTTGGGATACCATTTTACAGCCTGATAGGAAGACTGTGCATAAAGCCATGAGAGAAAGGCACATGTGTATCCACATGCATCAAATCTCCTTGCTTGTGCTGCACTGCTATCCTATGCAAGGCTTTCATGCAAAATATGCTTGTCCTTGGCGTGCGTGCTGTGGCGCTCTTGAAAACAGAAGGGAGACGCGACTCCTTTAGAGCTGGCCCCACTCCAGTTTTCCTGGAGCCCCAAATGTGCCCCACAGAGCCTTCTCACTACCACTGAGCACTGCTGTTAATGCTTCTGGCACTAAAATACAGCTGGTGACTCCTGCTTCTTCCTTTCCATTGCACCATGAAGGGGGAAGAAGAGGGGGAGGAGGAAAAGAAGAAAAAAAAAACCCAAAACACATGCCTTGAAGGAGAAACTTCCTCTTACCAGCTTGATCTGGGACCTGCCTGCTTGCCACCCAACTGCCCAAATGGAGTTGTTTTTGGTGGTGATGCCTTCAGCACCATTCCTGACAGCAGCCACTCTCTTTAGTTTTCTGCTGCTAAAATGTACTTTGGGAAAACTGCATTTCTGAGCCCGGTTCACAGGAGTGTTTCCACTTAGGACAGCATTTAATTGCATGTTGGAATTAAACTGAGATTGAGTGGGACTTGAGTGATGCTTAAAGAGAGGGAATATACAGCTGAGACCTGGATCTCATTTGCAGGCTGTAACAGCTCTTGCTGCACCAAGAAAGACCCGCAGCTGAGGCAGGCCTGATCCCTCTCTGATGTCTGTGCATGGATACAAGGAATGAAAATGTGGATGACCACCCCTGGCAGGCCAGAAGTTTGGATTTTGTTGATCCTGTATGTCCTGCACCCCAATGCCACCAGTGTGGTACAGGCAGGAGGGACCGTTCCCATTCCAGATGCACAGGTCTGTCCCTGGAACTCAGCTGAAGAGCTGGCTCTGGACCTTCAGACGTCATGATGGGTGGCCCTCAGCGAGGGGCCAGAGCTGTGGTTTTTGGATGGGGAGTATATAGAATGGGATGTGATCCCTGCACAGGGACTGCATGAGGGCTCTTGCAGGATGGGACAATACAAAGTAACCCTTCTTCCTTGTTCCTCTTCCCACAGAGATTTCAGAGGGGATTTATGCTGTTGACTTCCTTCTCCTAGTGCACTGGGAGCTTCAGGCCCCTGGGGACTGTGTGTGCGACCAGAGATCAAAGGAAGGGTGTGGGAAACATGGTTTCTCCTATAGGTCCCTGCTGGGAAGCACTCCCAACAAGGTCTGTTTGGCTCTCTTGTCAGCCCAGAGCATAAGACAGCTTTGATTTCCTGCAGTTTGAGTAGCTCCTGGTGGTTTAGGGTTGACCGTATCGCAAACGGCAAGTGTCCGGCTTTGCCCATTGTATAGGTGGGCTTTAGTTTTATAGCTCGTTGCCAAAGACAGGGGGTTTTGAAATGGTATTTGTTTTGGTTTTGGCATCTGGTATCAGAAATGCAGTGTGGTCAAAACTGCTAATTTTCCCTACAAAGGGGCAAGCCCAAGAAAGCTTTCCAGCAAGCTTGTTTGCTTCTACAGGTTTTTATTCTCTGGTTGAAGTAAGTTGAACAAAAAGTAAGGAAGGACCAGAGGCCTTACACAACTCTGGTTGGAGAAAGTGTGCAGTTCCACCACTGAGGCAGTGTTTCCTAAAATAACAGCCTCGGGAACCTCTGCAATCTGTTTCCCTGTCTCTTACCCTTTTACAAGAACTGAGAAGTCTTTCAGCATTGTGAAGCAAGGCTGCGAAATAGCAACCAGAACAAGAGTGCCTCAGTCTCTTGCTCTCTATCTGGGGACCTATTGGGCTATTATTAGCCAAGGATACCAAATACATTTTGTAAATATTTGAAAAGCCTCACCAAGTGGTGTTGGGAAGACACATGTTCTTTTATGAGCCCCGCAATCGTTAAACCCAGGCAAAATGCAACGAAAGAGCCGCAGCAGTTCACAGTTACCACCCTGTTTTGTTCTCATCTGTGTAAAAAAAGCATGCTCGGGTGCCTCTTGACTCACAGCTGAAAATCCTTCCCCTAATGCTTGGCAGAAGGGGTTTCTTTGCCGGCAGAGATTTAACAACTGGGCTCTCGAGCCCCCAGTCTGGGACACGGTGATCTCCTGGCACCCACCAGCGCTGGGGTCTGGGAGCTGGTCTGAGCAGCCAGCCCGCTCCTCCAGTGTAATGCGAGATGCCTGACTGGGGGATTTCCTCGTAGCCCCCTGTCCCATTTCAGTGCGGGAGGAGCGACCCGCAATCTCTGTTTCCATCGCTAGAGGGAGGAAAACTACACGGAATTATCACCCCCTTCACTCATCTCCGGTCTACCCCTCCGTCCAACCGCTCCAGGCAGGGCAGCAGATGCTCTTCTAGCACGTTTTGTATGAGGAACAGGTAAAACCGTGGTAGGTGGGCTCTTTCTTTCGATGGTACCAAAGCAGGGTACCGAGGATGTGTGCATCCTCCCAGGTTGCTGCCAGCAGGGTTCAGGGAAGCTCTGGGTAGCTCTGGGTACCTGCTGAAGGAGGAGGACCATGAGAGCAAAGCAGGCTGCAGACATATCCAGAGCTGTCAGCAAGTTCTGGCCATACTCCCTGGAGTAATTTCTGTGGGAAGTGAAATTGCAGTGCAGTGGCGAAGAAGTCACATTCCACCCGTGGTAACTAAAAGGGTGGGCGAAGGGCTGAGAGAACTTAACGCACACCATAAGGTGAAGGTATGTGCTGAGCACCATATGGTGTGTCCTTGCACCCTTCTGAGCTGAGGGGGAATATGTGCATATCTCCCCAGAAATATTCTCCTTTAAAAATCTTACCAGCTCTTGTATATTTTCTAGCTTCTGAAGCTGTGATGTGGCTGGTTTAGTGTGGCTGAACAAATCAAACCATTCAAAAAAGCTTAAGGGATGACTGTTCTCTATCTAACGTATGTATTAAGAAAGCTAATTTAAAAACAACAACAACAAAAAACCAAACCCCAAACCCAACCAAACCCCACAACTTTGAACAAATGCCATTGTTAGGTGATAGATTCTTGAAGCAGTGCACCATCGACACTTCTTTTTCGTTTGAAAGCATAGCAATTTTGAAATTCATTTAAGAGGCAGATGATGACAGTTTCAACCTAGGAATAGGAACACTGTTGTAAAGTCAACCTGCTCCCATGGGAAGTACTAGAAGACAACTTCCTTGCTTTCAGAACCTATTTCGTGAAACCTGGTAGCTCTATGAGTCTCCTCTAGATTTGGGATTATGAGAAGTAGTTAAGGTCAGCTTTCTTCACCAGAGTGGCATCAACTAGCTGTGTTTTTTTTCTCCTACAAGATGTGGAAGGGTAGAAGCAGGCATGTCAGAATGAGCTACTGGCTCTGTAACAAAACCAAGGGCACATCTCTCTTCTAGATTTTGTGATGGCCATGGTCATAGCACTGTGCTGTATAGCACTGCACGCAAGGGTGTTGTCATATCTTGGGAGGTTGTTGCCTTTGAGGGATGGCAGTAGACTGATATTTTTCAAAAAAATAGGTTTAAAATGAAAAAAAAGTTAAGAGAAATAATTTATTGAAATGTGCAAATAATAATAATTTCAAAATGAAGTAAAACTGACTAAGAATGAATGTGACTATGACTGTTGCTCAAGACTGAACAGTGGAAAACCAGAGATATTAACAGATTAGAAGTGAAAAAGCACATACCTGGGTTTGTGTTTGGCTTTCATATTTATTTATTTGGGTATAGGCTGTTATATATTGTGATAGCAGTAGGAAACAAACAAAAAATGTCCACATTTCATTCCCCCTCCAAGCAAACTTTATTAATGAAAGGAAACATGAAGGAAGGTGCAGGACTCTCAATCTGGGAAAAAATTAAATGTGAGATCATACCATGCTGAGAGTTCCTTAATATGTGACTAAGAGGTGGCTATGCTTGTAACTGCCTTGGTCCTTATCAGGAGGGCAAAAGGATAGGGTAAAGCAATATTGAACATACTCCACCTTTATCATTTGATGCTAAAAGAAATGGGTACATCCACTATGTGCAAAACGTCTTCTGGCAGTGAAAACAACATGGAGGGGCTGAAGTAGCAGTAAATCCCTGCGGCACAGGACATGGAGATGCTATGTTGTGCTTCAGGCTCAGTCTTTCCTGGGGGAAAGCCTCAGCTGGCTGCAGCATTGGATGGGGCCAGCAGTGGTGGGAAGGAGGAAATTTTCTTCATCAAAAGCCTGCCTGAGTGTTGCCAGTGGTTGGGAAGAGAGGATGGGTTCCAGGAGGGGACGAGTGCCTGAGAGGAGGGTGTGCCAAAAAGATCTGTCTGGCACAGAGCAGCTGGCCTCCGCTGCTAATTCAGATTGGCTGGCCCAGAAGGATCCTAATTACAGCACAACTGCTGTCTCCATAATGGCTGCAGCAGGAGCAGTGTGGGCCATAAGGCACTGAAAGGGACCTGGATGTGGCAGTGGAAGATTATTAGAGTTACTGCGCTCTGTCCTGGCCACTGAGTCGCAAAAAACCCACCAGATGTCAGGGAGGAAGAAATGGGTCATCCTTGGTGTAGGCTTGTGCAAATAATGTTATCAACTGCTCATATGAGCAACGTGATTGCATAGCGAGGCTGGGTTATGCACTACTGAGGGTGTTCATGGGGAAAGAGTTGGCAACAAGGCGAGTCTGCTTGGGCTTTGGGGTCTGATTTGCAAAGCAGCAGCTACTTGTGTGGCTGATGTCTGATGTGAATAATAAAAGCTGTTCAGGCAACTCCTGGTGAAGGACTGTAGCTGTGTCAGATGTTCCCTGTGTACCAGTAATGATGGCCACTCACCCACCCGCACCAGCTGCTGACTGATGAAATCATCCTTGACAAAGCTTGGGCCCTGAAATTATCAAGAAAACTGTGATGAGCAATAAGAAAACTATGTTTTAGCATGTGAATGTTATTTTTTTTTGGATTCCTGGTATGTTCCCATGAAGGTCAGCTTCATATATATTTTGAAATCAAAATGGTAACCTCAGGGACAAGTATTCATAGATGATGCATTAAAGCAGATGTGATCTTTGTAGTATGGGCGGCTTGCTGGCAAGTTACTGCTGATGCCTGTTGCATTTAGGATCTAGGGTAGGAGGTGCTCCCACCATTTCATTTGCAAGAAAGAAGCATCACAGATTTTGCAATGATCTTTTTGGAAGTGCTCCCTCAGAAAAGAACTTTGAAATGTTAAACTGCCTCTTTGACTTGCAGCCCAAGTGTTTCCTGAAAGGAAAATCTGGCCCATAGCCCCAGATGTGAATAAGGGAAGTGGGGTACAGGTAAAACGTTATTCCCTGCCTCTTCCCACTTGCTTCCCAGCAGGGGAGAGCTCCACAGCCGCTTCCTTGCAGGCTGCAACTGAAGCACACATTTTTGTCTTGCGCCAGACTTCAATCACATGCAATTGCCTTACGGATAGCCAGGGCAGTAATGGTGATCTTAAACATTACTGGATGACTCACATTTGCTTTATCTAAGTCTGTTCACACTGTTGCAGCTTTTCTTGCTGGTGACGATGTGGCAGAGAAGGACAGAGTGAGAGAGTGAGATAGCTTGGAAGTGGGAGGCCGTGCCAAGGTGATGAGCTATTTTGCATTGGCATCTGATGGTGCTAATCAGTAACGATGTACTTTAGAAGGTGTCTTTGATAACACGCTTTAATAATTTAACCCTCCTCATATTTTTGGATTTATAATTTGCGTGGGGATTACAACCTGAATCTGCTTAGGTGCCTCTGGTTTCTGACACAGCAGCAGCCTTTGAATCGGCAAGCGTCTGCTCTTGCTGCTTAATCTCTGAGGCAGCCAATTTGGGGACAGAAGGAGTTTTTACTTTATCTGCTCCAAACACACTTGTATTTTATTCCTTTGTATTGGGAAAACAGGAAAAAAAAAAAAAAAGAGAAAGAAAAAGAAAAAAAAAGGAAAAAAAGTGCTGTGTGTGTGAGCACGTGTGTGTGTGTTTTTATAGTATGGGAGACAGAGACAAAACTGAACAAGTGTGGGAGGGTGAGAACCTTTATTGTGCAACAAACTGATGGCACCAAATATGCTGCATTTGTTGTGAGTTAAAAGGTTTATACAAAGATTTTCTTAGTAGTGTCTAAGATCTTAATAGGGTAATTAATCTTTCTAAGTGTTAGTGCCAGATTATGGGATCAGCTATTACCCCTGGCTACAGAGTACTCCTTTGTGTGTTGCTATGAACAGGACTAAGTGATGAGACTACTCCATTTGCTAAACAAAGATATGGTTGCTGCTAGCTTGTTTATGTTTGAAATGCGTTTTCTGGTGCAGTAAGAGAAGGAGGCACCATTTCCTTGGGAATATTGCTGCCCTTTAAAATGAGTCTTATTAAGAGAAGAAGGGGATGAAGCTCTGTAGAATTTGCAGAGCTTTATAGAAAAGTGCATATATATTTTGAGAAATAATGGTAAGTTGCTTGGTTTGACTGTTTTTTTTTTTTTTTTTTCCTAGCAGGAAAATAAATAGATAGCTAAAGTAATTGTAAGAAAGCAGCTGTAGGAATAGATAAAAAGAGGTCTCTACTTAAAAACTTTTATGTGGAATGCAGAAGCCAAACACTTCAGCTGAGGGATTAAAATCCAAGTTGTACTGCCGCAGGATAGAGTAGGACATAGAGGACATGGGAGAATTTTCCTAAGAAATAGGCTTTGCTCAAGCCTATTTATTCAAAAGGGCGAGTCAAATCAGTTTATTTAATAAAGGATTTTTTTTCTCTAGTGGCATTGGGGTTTGAGGAGGGGAGGAAAAGGTGGTAATTACCCAAAGGTTGTCACTGTTGAAACAACTGTGTCTTTCTGGAGAAATGTCTGCTTGGTCAAATTTTGACGTGTCCCATACTGCTGAATGAGCAAGCTCTGATCAAGGTCGGTATAAAGTACTCTGTCCACATCACTTAGCTTGGTCTAGTGAAGGCTGCTATGCTCTTAAGTGATGATAAAGGAAAAATCTAACTGTAAGCTTTAATATATAGTATAGCTGGCTTGAACCTAGGATTGCTTTTAAGCCATCCCAGAAGCAGTCACCTGCGAGTGACTATTCATGTATGGGTGGGAGTGTTTCATATATAATAGTGCCAGTGAGGCTGTCATATGTTGAGATGAGATGCTCTGGGCTGGTTCAAGTTGCTTGCATGTCAGGTTAGACATCCTTCTAGACACTGGGTGGGAGGGCACACGCATAGGGTACATGGGGAGAAACATTTGCTACATGGCTGAAGAGTTGGTCAATTTTCAGAAAAGGGAGGAAAAGAGGTACTCATGGAGGCTGAAGGAGGAAATTGCATCTCTTGCCCTGCTGGTACCTTGCATACTGCAAGCCCTCTAAGACGGTTGTTCCTTTTAT